GTTCATTCTAGCTGGAAAGTGGAAGAGCTGGATTCGGAATAGGCAATGTGATCCTCAGAGCCTATACTGTTAACCCCTCCACAAATAGTCACTGACATGTTCACTGGTCCTTTAACCCTTTCTTCTTTTAAAAACAAATATTCAAAGTATGTGTGTGTGAGTTCATTTATTGCTTTCATGTATAGAATGCCCAAGGGGAAGAAGCCGTCACGGATGACCTTACAACTCTGGATAGGAAAGCCCTCTTACAGCAGCGTTATGCAGACAACCCTTACCATGCACAGCAGAGTACAAGAAAATCTAATGCTGTAAGTTACCAGTCTGTTTACTTATTATTTGATAAACCACTGAGATAATTTGCCCTGCAAGGTTTTACAGACTTATCATTGAATAAATAATTTCAACAATTAAATTTGGACTGAGATGAATATTCATTAATATGCACATTGAGTCCTCATTTTAATAAATGATTGACGTTTGGTCTATTCACTGTGGAGAAATTGTCTTGAATCTTTGAGAGTTTGTAAAAATCCTAATATATAAAACCCAGGGTCTGTAACGTCCAAAATGACTGAAGTCTCCACCGACCGGAAGTCAGTCCTGCAGTCAGTGCTGGGTTTCTGTGGTAACTGACTGCCGCTACTGTGGGTGCGGCAGCGGCAACCCAGCACTGACTGCCAAAGGGGCTGTGGATCAGGCCCAGAGAGAGAAGCAGATTCTGACCCGTAGCCTCCATGGCAGCTGTTGATCAGCCCTTGGCTCTCTCTTTCTCTCTGGGCCTGGCCAGAAGCCACGCCTCTCTTTCTCTCCTGGCCTCCGTGGGGCCTGCTGATCAGCCCCGCCTCTCTGATCAGGCCCAGAGATAGACCTGGAGACACTAACTGGCATAGAAACCGACCAATCAGAACCAAATCTGGGTGAAGTGCAAGGAGTCAATGGCTGCCTATGAGGCGGAGCTTTTGACACTGACTGGCATAGAAACTGACCAATCAGAATCTAATCTGGGTAAACTGTGAAGGCAGAACCTAAGGTGGGGGCTGAGGAGGGATTTTAAGGGCAACAGCTGTTTGGTGTAAGGTGTAAGAAAGTGGTTCAATTTTTTAATGACCGGTTTGGCAGTATAGTGCATATGGCTGGCTATCAGTCCAGATATAGGGATTATGTATTTTTGTCTGCCAAGAGCATCTCCTCCTGCTGAAAAAGGCTTCCCCCGCATTTAAGCAATCCTATCCTATATAATCTATCTATAGTAATAAAAGTGTAATATGCTAATTAGACTGGGTCGACCGGCCATTTTCCGGACATCCGACTCCCTTTTGGACAAAGCCATGGTGGTGGGGGCCGAGGCAGAGGCAGTTAGGGGTGATCAGGCCAGCAGGGGAGGGCAGTTGGGGTCAAGATCAGACCAGCAGGGAAGGGTCGTTGGGGGCAAGATCAGGCTGGCAGGGGAGGGCAGTTGGGGGTGAGAACAGTCTGGCAGGGGAGGGCAGTTGGGGGTAAGATCAGGTTAGCAGGGGAGGGCAGTTGGGGGTGAGAACAGGCTGGCAGGGGAGGGCAGTTAGGGGTGATCATGCAGGCAGGCAGAGGCAGTTAGGGGCGATCAGGCAGGTAGGCAGAGGCAGTTAGGGACAAACAGGTAGGCAGGTGAGCAGTTAGGAGCCAGCGGTCCCACATTGCATGAGGGATGTCCGATTGGAGAGGGTGCACGTTGGGCTGAGGGAATCCCCAGCACCGGGAATTTCATGCACCGGGCCACTAGTTTTGTTTATAAAGTTCCTAATGTTAATTGGCTACTCTTTGTCAGTGGGTTTATTTGTCATCGACTCTCCCCCACAGTAGTCTGGTTATGTTTTTCAAAGTCAGAAGCTAAGAAAGCTAGAGAAATTCAGAGCTGTTAAAGAAAAGGATAGGAATTAAATATAAGCTCTTTAGCAAAAGGAAAGTAAAACTTTAGACTCTCAATATTAACTATATTATAACCTTTACAAAATCAATTAATATTGTTTGATGGGTATTGCTTAGATCAGTTCTGGTACGCCATTTCTTTTTTTTTTAACATTAAAATAAATTTTTTCAATAGAAGTATTTTACTTAATGTTGTTTACTTTTTAAAAATTAAATTAATTGGGGTGACATAAGCTAATAAAATTATATAGGTTTCAAGTGTGCAATTCTATGATATACCATCTGGATATTGCATTGTGCCCATCACCCATCAGACCAACCTGCTTGAAGTTGGAATCCAGTGGCCATCCCAGACCCTCCTGGGTGGTGAAAATCTTAGGGACGCTTGTAATGGATGATGGAAATCCAGTGAATATTGGCTCAAAAGTTGGGAAAATTCATATTTAGATAAACCAAATAATAATAAATCAATATGGATCTAGCTGGTTACATTTTCATTATCATTGAAGGGAAAATTAATATATTTTTATTTTGGTTAAACTCATCCAGAATCACTGTCTTTGAACGGACAGCAGTGTGTAATCAGTTTCCACCAGGTAGACTGGTTTTCTGTGGATGTCCCACGTTGTTAACTTGTTATAGTTTTTTTACTAAAACCACATAAAATTATTTACTATGCTGATTATTATTTAGACTAGAGGCCCGGTGCACAAAAATTTGTGCACTCGGGGGGTCCCTCAGCCTGGCCTGTGCCCTCTCACAGTCTGGGACCCCTCGGGGGATGACCACCTGCTGGTTTAGGCCCACTCCCCAGGGGATTGGGCCTAAGCTGGCAGTCAGACATCCCTCTGGCAGCCCAAGAGCCCTCAGGGGATGTCCACTTGCCAGCAGGAAGCAGGCCTAAGCTACAGTTGGACTTCCTTAGTGCTGCTGAGGAGGCAGGAGAGGCTCCCACCACCACCGCTGTACTGGCAGCCGTCAGCCTGACTTGTGGCTGAGCAGAGCTCCCCCTGTGGGAGCACATTGACCACCAGGGGGCAGTTCCTGCATTGAGCGTCTGCCCACTGGTGGTCAGTATGTGTCATAATGACCAGTCATTCCCAGTCATTCTGCTGTTAGGGTCAATTTGCATATTACCCTTTTATTATATAGGATAGAGGTCTGGTACAAGGGTGGGTGCCGGCTGGTTGCCCTGAAGGGTTCCCCGG